AGTAACATTGCTGAGATTTTTCTTTACAGAGATTCAGCCTCAGTTTAGGATACAGACTCAATTGTTTCTAAGGTTTCACTGTCTTATTTTACCAGTTAAATAGGTATGTGTATGGTACAGGCTTGAATTTGAAAAACTATTGAATACACATGATCCTTGAGTTTGAAGGACAATGGTCTTATTTATCTTGATTTAATTCATATACCTCAGTATCAGAGTTTACTATTACACGGACTCTTGAAGACAAATTACATTCCCTGAAACACATCTCTTCATACTAATGACCTGCTGCAGCACTGTTCTTAGTCAGCAGAGCTTTTTTTAGAAATGCCATTCTCACCCCCACCACTCCTTACTACCTGCCCCATGAAGAGGCCAAATTCCCAGCCTTTAGATTTACTTCTTTTCCCACCTGTTATTTTTCAGCCAAGCCTTTCTTATCATCAGATTTTCTCCACTTTATGCTTGTGTATTATTTTCATTTGAAGAAAAGGAGAAGAGAGAATGACTGAAGAGAGATGAATAGAAATGTTTAGAGGATAAAAGACAGGACCAATCTCTTTCACCTGTAATAAAAATCTCAATTCCATGATTTTTTGTTTTTTTTTTTAATCAGAAACAATATCAATGTTTGTGAATACTGACTGGATGCATGAAATTTTTCTCAAGCCTTATTACCATTTCTGATCAAATTACTGCATTTGCTTTGTAGTAAATGCAATTTGATTTTTAAAATCATCAAAGCAAGCAGCTATTAAAAGATTATATTTTTAAAAATTGTTTTATCTTGGTTTTTTTTTTAATTCTCCGTCTTTTTTATCTTCTCTCCTTTTTTTAAAATTGTGCACCCTGTTCTCAAGCAAATGAGTCTGTTTAAAACAAAGGCCTTTGTATTGCTATTAATATCAGAAATATTTTTTAAAAATTACTAAAACATAATATGTGTAATGCCCTCTCATGTAACCTCTCTATAAAAAAGAGTTAAAGATGAGCATCCAAAGAAAAACATCTATATCTACATTGAGCACATTTCTGCAGTTTGTCTCAGAGACTACTCTGGTAGAAAGGGCTATTTTGCATCTTGCCTGATTGAGGTGCCTAGTGAGGCTGTTTAAGCTTTGTGTTTGTTTGAAGTAGGGTCTTGCTATGCAGTCCAGGCTGGACTCCAACTTGCCATCTTCCTAACTCAGCCTCCCAAGTGCTGGGATTATCCCCAAACCTGGCTACTGTCTACATTTGAAATCTTAACATTCAAAGTATGCATTAAGGAAACAATTCTCCTCCAATGCTTATGATTTTATAGTATTTATGGTGCTTAAGATTGTTCTGTTAAATACAGCATGCTCAGTTAGGTTTTAATTCCAGAAAAGCAATTAATTTTTAGTTTAAGAATGCCTCAAATATTGAAAGGGTCATACGCTAAAACTTAGCATTTGTCACCTGTAATTCAAATTTAAGTAGGTGACCTGCACTTTTATTTTTTAAATTAGTCTCTTTAACTGTGCTCAGAGATGAAATAAAAGGGCTTGGATGGCCTGAAATGTGAACAGTGCTTTTGATGGTGCAAGGTTTTAATGGTTTCCATTTGTTATTTGAATAAACTCTTTTTTGAGACTGAAATTCTGATTAAACAAATTGTCTTTTAGCTGGTGATACTTACCTTGACAACTTCCTACCTATGGGGGTCTCTTCTGTAAATCTTAAAATACTTTGAATTAAGCATTGCTGTGGTGAGTCTGTATCCGGGTCTACTGCCCCTTGTGGTGAAACTCAAATTTGCATCTTCATAATACCAGACTAGACATGACTACAGTCAGAGCAAAATATTTTAAAATTATAGAGTCATCCTTTCTCAAAGTGTCTCCTGAGTCTCTGTTATTAGCAAAAGCGAAAGGATCAAGGTATGTCCTGGGTCCTACTGCAGGGATAGATGTGAATCTCAGAAAAGGGCTGCAACTGGCAGTGAAAAGCCTATTTATTAATTTTTTTGTATTTATTTATTTTTTGGTACCAGGGATCAAACTCAGGACCTTGTGCCTGCCAGGCAGGCGCTGTGCTGCTAAGCTACATCCCTGGCCCAAAACCCTATTCTTGTCCTCTGCAACTGCTGTCTTTACTTTTTGGCTTGCTGGTTTCTGTCTTTTCCTTACAGACTCTTGTTGGTTCTTCATTCCACAGAGGAAACAGTGTCACTGCACAGTTCTGACTGTAAATATATAGATGTAGCCACATCAGAACCTTCTGTTTAGCTCCAATTTCTTAGGAATAAAAGTTATCATTGGCCCAACCTGGAGCAGATAAATACCTTTATGCCAGGAAGTTGTAGCCCAAAGGTAGTGCGGCCTTGTAAATACTGTGGCTGGTAGGGGCTTATTCTTAGGTCAGGAGTAGCATCTATAGGGAAGATGGAAAGATGCCTCCCCATACAAGCGTTACAAACATTAAGCAGAGGGAGTTGCAAGATGAATTCAAAGTCAAAGAATGAGGTCAGGTTTAGGTAGATTGATGGAGTTTATTGAAAACCCAGGGATGGGGGTACAGCAAGTACTGAGAAAGACAAAAACAAGAAAACTTGGCCTCAAGCCAAGTTAGACTGACTGTTTCAATGACTGACAATCACAATATTTTAAACAACTACCCCCCTCCATGTTCCTCGTGTTTCATTTTAATGCCAAACTGAAATCTCAATTTAAAGGACTTGCCTTATGATTTTAAATGAAAACAAGCAAGCAAGCAAACAAACAAACATGGTGAGTAATTACTATGGGAAAGACACTATGTTAAATGTTCTAATGCATGTTTGCAAAAATGTATTTGAGAATGGGAGGAGGTATGCATAGATTCTGTGTTTTTAACTCATGTACTTATTCATGGAAATAGTGGTGAAACTTGTTGAATATACCACTGCTCTAATGATAGTTTCCTTTAATAATTTTAAAAGAAAAATTAGCCATGACCTCTTTAATTTCTTTAGAAGTAAAACACAGCACTTTTATTTCATTAAACTTTCGTGGAGATTTTGGGTACTTTTAAATCCAGCACTCATGCGAAATTACAATTTAAAATCTTAAGAGTCTGCCATCTCCAGTATCTTACTAATTCTTATAGAAGCTTTTAGTAATGATAGCCAAAGGCAATCACAGCATTTACAGGAAGGCGATCGAATTGAAATTTTTAAGGTGATACGAGACTGCACTTGAAATACATTTTTAAGTTTATGGAGGCAAAGCAAATGTTACTGAATAATAACCATGTGCCGGCCATTATTCTAGGCACTTCCTGATCACTAACTTATTTTGTCTTCAAAACAAAGTTTTCAGGTAATTGGTATCATTTTGACTTTTCAGATGAGGAAACTAAGGCACAGACAATTTTGAAACTTTTTCCAAGGCAGAGTCTGAAGTGGAGAGAGGATTTAATTCCATGCGCTCTAGCTCTTTTGTCTGCCCCCTCATCACTAATAAATCTGACATTCTGGTCCTAGCCCCTTACCACTACTGTATCTAGGTCTTTGGTCCTGGCCTCTCATCGGTCTTGCATACCACTCTTAATTTTAACCAAGTTATTAGAACATTGATTAATTCACAAGCACAGTATTTTACAAAACACGTGCGAAATATTAATATGGTGGTTCATGGTTCAAAATAAGCCTTAGGCTTACTTATTTTAAATGTATGAAGGATCCATGTTTATGACACTTTTCACTTCCATGTTCCATTACCTTTAGATACTCAATAAATAAATAAATTAAAACAAAGTATAGCACAAAAATTGGTAAGCCTAGAATAATTCTCAATGAACATATTCAAAATTCATTCTTAAGAAATTTTGTAAGAAAAAAGCATAAATAATTGTTAGTGTTTAATAATTTACTTAAAATAAAAATTAGGAGTACTTTATTCTAGCAAATTAATAATGCTCTTGTACAAGCTTTGATCTCAATTTGATTTCTCCTTAATTAAGGACTGGTGATATTTATTTATTTATATTTATTCTAATAAACATACCTGGTATATGACTGGGAGATTCTTTTAACATGAAAAATGATACTGCCTGACACTACTCCAAGAAATAATCATTTATATAATGATAGGAAAAATTTGGTTATTAAAAATAGCATACAATAAAAGTGTTCTTTATTTTGACAAGACTTCAAAATCATCAATATTTCAAATTCACTCTAGTTGTAAAACTATCTTGGAAAATGTTTATTTGTATTATTACATAATTTCTATAAATGGAAAACCACCTTTGTCCCTCTCCTAAGCTTTAATAAAACAAGCAAATATACATCTCAATGGCAGATTAAGGGTTTTTTGTAGCTAAGCCTAATTAAAATGGCAACATTCCAATGGTTTCTTTACCAGAGAGCAAGGACATCTGTAAGGGATAAAAATATACTAAGCATTTTGATGCATTTGTTTCCAGTGTTTGAAGGTGGCAACAGAAAACAGGGATTGATACTGGCTAAGCTGCAAGCAACATATGAGTTAGAAGTTTTTTAAAAAGATGGGGGGAAATCAAAGCGGTTGAATGCATTTTGAGTTTCCGTTGTTTTGCCTGCTGCTTCTGCATTTTCAGTACCATACACTTCCTCAGATTGTGTCCTGACATACCGTAGTCCTCTCTTGGATTTTTTTTTTTTTTAACATAAGAGAAATTCTGCAAGAAAGAAGACAGTAGGGCCGGGGATTTAGCTCAGTGGTGCCACCGCCCGCCTCGCAAGCACAAGGTCCCAAGTTTGATCCCTAGTACCAAAAAAAAAAAAAAAGAAGAAGACAGTTCCATTTTAATTAACCCAGCATGTCCCTAACTTACTGGCTTTGGAAATCCCTCTTCCCACTTCTTGCTCAGCATCAACTACATTAATCTTTGAGTACCATTTGGGAAGAGTTGCAGTGGCAGATGATTCCTTGATACTTTAGAATATTTTTAATCCATTTGTGCTGCAATAATACTAAAAATTAGGTAACTTATAAATAACAGAAATTTATTCTTACAGTTCTGGAGCCTGGGAGGTCCAAGATCAAGGTGACAGCAGGTTTGGTGTTTGCTGAGGACAAGTGTCCACTTCCAATGGCACTTTTGCCACATTTTCCAGATGGGATCAACAAAGTGTTTTCACAGATCATAGGAGCATCAGAGCAAGGAAGGGAATGTTTCTGTGCAGTCTCCTATAAAGGCATAGATTCATTCATGCAGGCTGCCCTCCTGGACTTAATAACTCTTCACAAACCTCATCTCTTGATACCTCCACAATGGGAATTAAGTTTCAACACATGAATTTTTGGGAATATTCAGACCATAGCAAATATCATCACTAAATCATAAATGTTTTAGGTCCTTTTTTGTTTTCTGAAATCTTTTTACCATGACATATATATTCTATGAATTATGCTGTCAATCCAAGTTCCAAGGCACGGATTCAATAAGAGAGGAGATATAACTTTCTCTACCCTGAGAACAAACTGCTAGCTTGCATTGTACTGATTTGTGTAAATTTCATGCTGCAGCATCTCCAAAAATATTTTGTGGCTACAAGCCATTCTACATTCAAATTCATTTCATAACCATCTAAATACCTGGAATAGAGGAATCTGCCAATGAATATTGACTGAATCAAATTATTGAGGTTTCCTAACCTTATTTATTTTCATTCTACACTTAAACTCTTAGAATTATACCAGCTGAAAATTGACCCTTTTTTCTTTTAATTATATTTTGTGTTCGTGGTGGAATTTAACAATAGGTGAACTGTGAATTATTCCAAGTATACAAAAGACAGAGGCAGTACACATAACTCAAGCATTTTTAAATTCTAAATTTGATTCATACACACACTATGATTGAGATGTGTTTTTCTGATGCTTTTATTCATTTCTATATTTTACCCTACAAAGAATATGACACCATTTTTTCCAAATAACTGTATCAGCTCAGCACATAGATTTTTTTCTAATTTCATCAGTTTAAATTCCCAAAGATTTTAAAACCATGAGAGGATGATATAGATATAGCCAGGGGCCTGTTTCTTGAGAGCAAGTATTTCAGGTGAACAAAATTCACTAAGCAGAAATATTTCAAAGCAGAAGTTTGTTTTTCTCAGGTTACATTTTTTACCTGTCAGGTGGCACATGGTGCACAGACAGAAGGTTATAAGTGCAGGATTAGGAAAAGGGTTTTATTCACACATGACTGTAGCTTATGCCCCAAGTGAGTTAAATTCTGTTCTGACATGCAAATAAGGAATATCTACTTTAATGTAGTCATTTTCCTTTTCTTACAGAAACTTCTATTCTAGACACAGTTCTCTGAAAATACAAAACTACACATTCTTACAAAAAAAGTTATTCACTGAGATGATAATCTGAAATCTGCTGCCTAATATTAACTAGCACTTGTTATTTTGATATAAATTGAAGTGTTAAAATAGTCTGACAGTTCTTATATAACTATGTCCTTCAATCAGTTTAGTAGGACAAAATTCTAGGCTTCATTTCACTACCATAAATGAAAAACACATGTTCATAAATCATTACCGTCTTTTCAGGATCTTTTAAGTTAGCAATAGCAATTCTTATAATCAAAGTTATTAAAATATTATAAGTTTAAAATTTCAAAAATTTTCAACTTTCAGATTTAAAATTTAGTCCTTATTTTTCCTTTTACATATTTTCTTTATCTTGACTTTCATGTAGTTTTATCTATTTTACATATATAATTATAATAAATTAGAATTTTTTGCATTGACATTTAAATACCAAAGTATATAAAAAGTATATTGCTTTTTGTTGAAAAAGCAAAAACTGCTCTAGGTATGTTAAGCATAAAAGGACTTAATGTAGGGAATTAGGGCTATACCCATGTAGTAGAACTTATGTGCCTTCTTTCTTCCTATAGATGCTGTTACTGAAGACAGTGATGGTTACATGGTGGGTGGTTTTATGAGTCAGGATGGTCTGGTAGTGGCCTGAAAAGACACTTGCTGCAAGGATTACATAAGGACAATGTGTTGGGACAGCAGGACAGGGTTGTTCCAGGAGCCATCAATAATGGCAGGTTATGAGAATTCATGTGTTAGAGTACAGCAGCAAAAGCAGGCCTGGTGATCAGCTGTATTAATGAAATTGGACTAATCAGCAAATATGGTGAAAATAATGTGTACAGATTTCTCATTGAAGAAGGAATGTACATATGACAAAATAGAAAAACAGCTAGAATAAACCCTTTGATGGTAGACTGAAATTGGAGCTATTGGGGTGAACTCATACTTGTTTAGATAGATGATAGATAGATGACAGACAGATAAAACATACCTATAAACATGAGCACATATGTTTAATTATGTATTCGGGGGTTATGTACATATATTCAAACATATTTTTCCTAGCTCTATCAATATGCATTTTTGGACGTAGCACTGAACTTGGCCGACACCCAGATCATGACTTCTAAATACTTCACTGCAATGAACTAGATCTCTTGGAAAAAAGAGACAGATTTCATGGTTGGGTTTGAAAAAGTACAATATGTGGCTATGTCAGTAAATAGTGCTATACTCAAAGAATGAAAAGGTTTTGGTGGCAAATCAAAGGGACAAGAGAAATGTGCTTGAAAGGATCCCCACTGGTCAAATTGAAGAAGTCCAAGCACTAAAATACATATTGATATCCATTAAGTGGATATTACTCCATTTAATGAAATAGAATATCTGCATCCATGTGGACAGTAGGGAGGAGAAAGAGCTGCCTTTCCAGTAATATTGACCAGTAAATATAGAAAGAATGATTGATTAAGGAGGAAAGATTGCCACTTTGCAGTCATCATAGTATTATTTCAGGCAATGAAAATCAATAAATACTAAAACTGATAGGTAGAAGGAAAATGAAAAAAATGAATATTAATGGAACCTCAAATTTTTCTATTGAACGTTTATTATTTACAAAGATTTAAAAATGAAATATAATAGTGGATAACACCGAATTTTGCAACCTTAACTAGAGATCAACATTTAAATGATCCGTAATGAGTCAGATTAGCAGTGTGTGTTACATTTGAATGTAATGAGAATAACTTCTGTGTTATTCCTGCCCAGCATGTGTAAGTTAGGTCTAATCCTGATGAGTCGTCATACAAATTTAACTGGGGGAGATTCTACAAAATTGTTCCCTATGATATTCCTAAACATCAACATGGGAGAAAAAAGATAGAGGTCCCCCTCTAAATCAAAAGAGGCTGGGCAAAACTATCGGATACAATGTCTTCTGCCATTAAGGAAATTATTGAGGATACAGGTGAAAAATCAATGTGATCCTTAGACTAAGAGTATGGGGGGATTTACTTTATTATGTTGTAACTTTCCTGAAGTTTGAAATTATTTCAAAATAAAAAGAGTGGCAATGACTAAAGAGTCTCAATTTATAACTGACAATTCAGAGTTGGAAAGCTGTAGAAGCTTCGTGACATTGCCAATGATAAAGTCAAAATGAGGCTTATGATTCAAAACTAGACACAGGGAGGCTATTGGAAAATTCCACCTGTTAAAGATTGACACATCTGTCAACTGCTGCCAAAGAAGCAATAATGTGGCTTTTTATTCTGTTTTTCCCTCCAAAGCTCAAGAGCTTTTGGGAAATGTAGTTCTCAGATCTCCAGCCTCTGTTGGTATTGGAAGCAAGTGTTACTGACAGACAATTTTGAATGCAAAGCCTGACAGCTCAGTTTAGTTAACAGAAAGGTTTTTTATTAGTAAATAACTTTGCAGTTAAAAAACAGGCTTTTTTCACTATTTAATTAAATTTATATATTCATTTATGGTTCAGTATTTATATTGCTCACCTAGTAAATGGCAGGCACAATTCTTGGTGCTCAGGATTTAACGGCAAACATGCCAGAGAAGAGATTGACCCTTTTCCAGCTTGCAATTGTTATGAGAAATTGGAAGACAGTAAGCAAGTTAGTAAAAAAGAAAGCATTAAATTCAGACAGGTACAGTGGATGAACTAGATAGGGTCATGCTGCAGATCTCACCTGGGACTGGGGAGTACTTTATACAGAAGTGTGAGAATGAGCTGTTACTCAAAGAAGCGTAGAAGGAATAGCATTCTGGACATATGGAATTGCAAAGACTCCAGGAGGCCAGAAAGGAGAAGAGTACACATGGAGATGAAAAGAAATGTGTGGGGCTCTGAGGCTTGGGTATATTCCTAAGAGCAGTGGTAACATAATTAAGCAGAGAAGTGTTATGACAAGATCAAGCTTTTAAAAGAGTAATTCTAATAATATTATAAATAAAAGACCCTTGGTGTTGGGGCAAAAGTGCAAGAAGGAAAGAAAAACTAAGGCTTATTTTATGAGACCAAATGGAAAATGATGGTGGACTCCAGAGACATAGGAAGTGGAAAGAAATGGGAGGTGTGCTTTGGTGGTAGAAGTGGGAAGACGCTCTTTTCTACCCCACATTAAGTTGACAATGTTTGGTTGTTACGTACTTTATCAGCTCAGATTTTCTGTGTCCTCTGCCATGGACAAAGTCCCTGAACATAACAATTAAATTTTAAGGTTAATGTAATGAAAAACAAGTGCTTTGGGCTGCACAAAATCCATTTCCCATCTTTTAGTGAAAGAACCAAATTTTACTTTATGGTGGGTTTTTTCCCCCATTATTTCACCTTCCCTTCCCCATAACACAGGCTCACTGCAACCACCAGTGAAATTATTCTGCCTTGATCCCATCCTACTTTCACCAATGGGTTAGCCCAGTCTAGTCTATTCAGTTTCCCTCCAAGAACTGTGAATCAAAACTGAAATGATAAAAAATGGTGAAGAGGTAAAGCTAAGTTTTCTTACTAGCACTGTTCAGATAGACCATCAGGGAGCTCCTCCTCTGAGCTTTGATAACTTCTGAACTTTCTTAGGCCAGATACATTTTATTTTCTTTGAATTATGTGTTTTTCAGTGCAGTGTCTTTCCAGTAAGTTCCATGCTATCTTTACTCCTCCAGACTCAATTTCTGTTGCTTATAACCAGAGTCCTAAGTGACAACGGTGATTTTTTTAAATGCTTGACTAGTTTAATTCATAATGTAACAAAATGTTCAAAGTAGTTGCCAATTTAAAATAACCCAGAAAAATAGGGGTGAACTTAACCATAATCTCCTATTACTGAAATCTAT